AATAAACCCTCTGAAAATATTGCAGTTCCTTCATATTTTCAGATTTGACGCTGGGACAGCCCTCAAAGCGTCAAAAGCGCTCCCCCTTAGCTGCCTTCTTTATGCATGTTTCCACTGATATTATGGCTGCTACTGGGGTTAAGTACACACACAATGTTTGGCTCTCTAGCCAATGGAATTACCTTTAAAACAAGGTTAAGGATGGCTAATTTGAATATTGCATACCAGATATACAGCCGTATATATATCTGATATATAGTGCGTAAACGGCACATAGACACCTTAGTGTCTGTGTACATTGCACACTGTTAAATAATTAGATGGAAAGTTTGAAAAAGGAAAAAAACATTTGCTTCAAAAATGTTTTGTGGCAATCAAAATGCTCCAGTGTGACTTTCGGGGTAAAATTGTTGTGTAAAAGCAATAAGCTCAATTTGGAATGATTTGGTATATTTGGAGAGGTTTGGAGATGCTGTTGACTCCAGAAGTTAAAAGTCCCATAGCTCTGGAACTGTTATACCTAGACGTAGGAAATGCTCTGCAGTTGCTGGTGGCATAATGCAAAATAAACGTAAAACAATGACACATGCCTATTTCCGAGCATGTTTTTTTTACTGCCAAAAAAGACCTATTATTTTCGAGAACAAAACTGCTGCAGTTTGGGCTGGGTTTTAGTAACACAATTTTCCTTTATATTCTAAGAAACTAGAGTGTGTTAGCTTTCAAATTATGTATCACACATGTCATTTGGGCTTACAGTTTGAAAAAAGTTAAGGATAATTTATATGCAGATGGTAAAAAGACAACATATATGGTTAAAATGGGATTTGTCATTAGTAAAACTGTTATGGGCATTTGTTTTAACACCTTATAATAATTTATAATTAAAACTCTGATTTTGTGATATATAGGAATTCTGATATCCAATCCTTGCTTTTTTGTGCTTTTTTGTTTTCTGTTTTGGTTTGTTTAATTCTTCACCATTTTTTGTTTGCCCAGATTGAATGTGGAACCATGGATGGAGTAACACGTATCACACTGGTTAGCGGACTGTCCAAACCATGGGGGCTTACAGTCTACCAGGACCACCTCTACTACACTGACCAGGACTATGAGGTCATTGAGAGGGTGGACAAGGAAAACGGAGCCAATATGGTGGTGATGCGTAGCAGCATATCTGGCCTGCAGGCTATAAAAGTCCACGCCAGAGACAGTATGTGTATATTTATATAAACTTATGTTTATAAAACATTATGCTTCCACTGATTTTTGAGGAAATCATAGATCAAATTTGTATCCAATTACAGATTTTCGGCTTTTGTAAAACTTCAACCTGACAGACCATTTTCGCCTGATTGTTATTTCTCTGTAAGGACCATGAGTAAATCGGAACAGCATTAAAAGTGTATACTCTAAATTAGATTTATAGCAATACCATAGCATATTGTATGTAGGGGATAGAATTCAGCAGAAAAAAAAGAAAAGATGTAATAGAGTTTAGGAATTACGAGAAATGTTTGTTTTTTTTTACTTTCTTTAGCATCTTATACATTAACATTAGTAGCATTTTTTAAATACATGTATGTTTGTGTACTCGTAAAAAATAAAGACCTGAACTCAAAATTTACAAAGCTTACTATAATCTCCAAATCCAAATAAAAAAGGCAATTGGAGGGGTGCTGCTGTAGCGTGGAGGTAGGTAGAGTGCATGACCTATATACCGGCTGTCGCAGATTTAAGTCCTGGCCTTGCTGACCTTTGCTCAATGTCTCTGACCTCTCTTCTAACCCACTTTCCTGTCTCCATACTCCATACAAAATTACAAAATAAAGGCCACTAGATCTTAAAAATATTCTTAAAAAAAAAAAGGCAATTGGAAGTAGTCAGTGTAGCCTTCATGTTATATGCTGGAAACCATGCTCTCTCTAGTAGTTTGCATTAACCATAGAAACATCACGGAAAACATTCATTTTAAATAACTTAATTCAGCTACCTGCATGATTCTCTTTCATTTTAAGAAATGAGAAACTCCAGTATGATTTATTTAGTAATCAGAAAAAGTCAGGTTTCTGACAAATCAACAGTAAGGAAGTATGACATGCTTTATTAATATGGTAACCTTTTTAAACATCTAGCTCCAATAAATATCAGGCAAATGTTGTCACTCGCCTTATGCTTATAGTTTTCTTATTAGCTTAGCTCCATTACATTTCTACAGCTGCAGCTCATCTAGTAACACCTATTTCTTTATCTCTGTTGCCTTTTCCTAAGACTCAGCAGGAACTACAAATGCCTGTAGCACCAACAATGGAGGATGTCCACACCTTTGTCTTCCTAAGCCTGGAAATCAGAAGACCTGCGCCTGCACCACGGGATTCCATCCCTCTCATGATGGTACCCTCTGTGAAGAGTTTGCATCGTTTGCTGTCGTTGCCACAGATAAGTATATCCGTGGCTTCCACATTAACAGCTCGGACCACTCTGAGGCAATGGTGCCCATTGGTCGATGTATGTTGATGATCCATTTTTTGCATTTTAGTTCTCAAGCTTGTTTTGTAATTTACCCCTAACAGCAGGTTGCATGTGGTCATTTCTTTACAGCTATTTATTCCACGAAGAGAAATCTGGACCTCCATATTCAATCTGGTTTTGTTTATTGGAGTGAACATGGCAGTTACTCGTCATACAGAGGCATCTATAGGGTCAAAACAGACGGAGGAAGTTACAGCCGCATCATCAATTCAGGCATTGGAGATGAAGGCATTCAGGGTTTGGCTGTAGATTGGGTTGCAGGTATGAGTCAATCTAAGCCTCTGAGAAATCTATGTATTGCCCTTCTTTAAAATATGTGTTGTGGAAGATTATTAAAATGTATTTTTGTCCCATCATACTTAAGATGTTCTTTTTTTTTCAACTCTAAGGCAATCTTTACTTTACCAATGCCTTTGAAAAGGAGACTTTCCTTGAGGTCCTGTGCATCAACACTACCTTCCGAATGGTTCTCCTCAAGAGTCTTGAGGACCGACCAATGGACTTGGCAGTCAGCCCTAAACTCCGCTACCTGTTCTGGACGGATGGTGGTCAATCACCCAAGATTGAGCGGGCCCTGCTGGATGGGAGAAATCGCACCGTTTTGGCATCTGAGAGCCTTGCATCACCTCGAGGCCTGACTGTTGATTATACCAATAACTTCCTCTACTGGACTGATGATGTTCTTGATATGATCTCCCGCATGACTGTGGAGGGCACAGATAGGCAGATCATCCGCTACGGAAGCCGTTACCCTTCTCCAACAGGATTGGCTATTTTTGGAAACTACATGCTGTGGGTAGATAATAAGCTTGAAAAGCTTTACCAGGCTAATAAGAACCCAGCCAATACTGACCAGCCAGAAGTAAGTAATGGAGTTTCATTTAATAGCCGCTGTTTGATTATCTGTAGGAGTTACTAAAAATATTTTTTGCAAAAAAAGAAACTAAAACTTTATAAAATTCAAAATCTAACATTTTTCGAAGAAAAAAACCTGAAGTAATAGTTTTTATCATCAGTAAAAATATCTGCCAAAAGTTAATCTTGAGTTTTATTGTAAGCCTAATTTTGACAAAATATGGAAAAAGGAAAAAAGTAGTGCTGTGGAACAATAATATGTTTATTGCCCACTCCAGTAGGGGGGGGTAAATATGTTATTTGATATTTGGACTGTCATATACAGTATTGTTTGTGAACAATCTCCCTATGGGCAGTATTAGATAAACAATCGAAAGTCCGAATCAAGCTCAAATCATGATCAAACAGCTAAATCCGCACATATATATATATATATATATATATATATATATATATATATATATATATATATATATATATATATATATATATATATATATTAATTTCAGCATAACCTGAATTCAAAATATGACTTTATTAAAAAAGAAACTTTCAGCTCCAAGTGAAACATCCATCCATTGTCCATCAAACTTTATACCAGCTGGGGTCGCGAGGGGTGCCAGAGCTCCAGCTGTCTACGGGTATAATTATCATAAACCATGATAATAATTTTGGACATTGGTTTCCAATGTCCAAAATTATTATCATGGTTTATGGCCCAACAGCAAGAAATCATAGAATCCTAGAAAAAGAGAGAATTTGTAAAATATAACAAAACAGGTCAGTCAGATTAGCGTAAAATAACATTAATAAGATAAAACACAGCATCGATTAAAGCATATTAAGGAAGTGAGAAACATTAACAGTGGCTAAGCATTTTTACCAGCTGAGATTGGTTGCATCAGACCTATTTATGCCATATACTAACCGTTGCATCTATTTAAGTACTGCTAAAATTATATGTTCTCTGTACTCACTTTTATTACATACCTGTTTCTAATGTCACCAGGTAATCCGGGACACCCTTGATGGAGTGATGGATGTTGCCGTCTTTGACTCTCATGTTCAGCCCACATCTGCCAATCAGGTCGGCTTCAACCCATGCCAGGAAGACAACGGACGCTGCCAGCAGCTCTGCTTTGCCATTCCAGATGAGGAGAAGCCTAAATGTGGCTGCGCTCATGGCTCCCTCCTTAGTAACGGAGTAACATGCGGTTACGGTCTGGATGACTTTTTAATTTTCACCACGGACTACACTGTGAATTCTCTAAGATTAGACCCAACAGATCACAGCCTTCCCTTTCCGACGGTGAATTATGGCTATGGTGTTGTGGCACTGGATTATGACTTTAAGCAGAAGCGAATTTTCTTTACCCGGTCAATGGGAATAGGTCGCAGTAGGATTGGCTATGTCACCACAACCTCCATCACCAGCCCTCCTGTATATTTGGCCTCCGGTGAGCTTACTGCTAAGCCTTGGCTTGAATCAATTTTTTGTTGTTGATGTTTGTTTGTTTTTTATATACTCTTTTCTGCACTTACTCCTCAGACCTGGATGATCCAGATGGCCTGGCTTATGATTGGATCCATAACCGTCTCTTTTTCACTGACTACTATAAACGTAATGTCCAATCCATTGGATTGGATGGGCAGAACCGCTCAGTGATTGCTCATGCAAACCGCCCCAGAGGCATCATTGTTGATCCATGCTACGGGTACAAACTGCAAAATGTTCTATTATTTAAACTCATTTAACTGTATTTATAGAGCACATTATTTATTTTTTCATGCAGTTACTTGTATTGGACCGACTGGGGCTCTCCTGCTAAAATTGAGAGGGCAACACTGGGAGGGAACTTCCGTACCCCCATTATTAATGACAGTCTGACAACACCAAATGGCCTTTCTATCGACTATGAGGAGAGGATGCTTTACTGGGCAGATGCATCACTGTAAGTCTAAAATGTTCTAGAGTCATAAATAGTAAAATTTCTCTAATTTCTTCATTCATGTTTTGCCAATGCACCCCCAAAGGGACAAAATTGAACGAGCCACCCTGACCGGCCAGAACCGACAGGTGATCTTGCAGGGAGTCAAGTACCCGTTTTCCATGACCGTGTTCAAGCAGGACATATTCTGGACAGACTGGACTGACCGGGCAGTGTTTAGGGCGGGAAAAGATGACGGCTCTGGTGTTACAGTGCTAGCCCAGGACATGCAGTATCGACCCAATGACATCCACGTCTATTCAGGTTCTAAGCAGGAGGAGTGCTCCAGCTTCTGTCAGCAGTTTAATGGTGGTTGTAGTCACATCTGTGTTTCAGGTGAGATCTGATTGTTCAGTTGCATTAAAAATTCTTCAGTAAAGAATAACCTTTGTTTTACTTTTCTTGGTCTGCAAAAATATTCAATAATAGACAAGATGTATTATCAAAGAAATGTAACTCAAGTGCAACCATGATGTTTTTATTAAGCATTATATTCTAAGTGTGAGGGAATTTTAATTAAGAGCTTTAGAAACTATTTGCTCTGGTTTTATCACTCACTGTTTTACTGCTTGTTCCTACAGGTCCAGTGGGCCCAGAATGCCAGTGTCCTCATGATGGAAATTGGTACCTTGCAAATAATGGCAAAGACTGCATCGAAGACACAGGGAAACGCTGTCAACCTGAACAGTTCACCTGTCTGAATGGTAACTGTATTTCAGCACGGTGGAAATGTGACGGCTTTAACGACTGCCAGGACAACTCTGATGAGTTGGAGAGAGTGTGTGGTAAGAAGTTGAAAAATAACTTTTTGGGATACATTTTTTTTTAATTAAAAAAGCAAAAGTAAGACTGTAATCTCTTTTTGCACTTCCCAGCTTACCACACTTGCTCATCCCTGGACTTCACCTGTGATAACGGTCGTTGCGTCCCGATGAGCTACGTTTGTGACTACACCAACGACTGCGGTGACAACAGTGATGAGCGGGATTGTGCCTTCCCCACGTGTAACCCGGCCACGGAGTTCACCTGTTCCAACGGACGCTGCATCAACTCAGATTTCGTCTGCGATGGCCACAACGACTGTCGAGACAACACTACATCTGATGAAATCAACTGCCGTGAGTGACAACAGGGAGAGGTTGATTCGTGGGGCAGTAAGCACTGATTTACATGAGGGCTACACAGTCTAACAGGTCTGGAAAATGTCTCTTCTTCAACAAGCTTAGCTTCATTGTAAATCTATTAACCCTTTAACTGCCCAGTCATCCTCCAACCTGCATTTCACTGGGCAAATGGTCAACCCTTTGGTTGACCAGGCAGGGTTAATTTGGAAAAAAAAAAGTGCTGGCCAGTCGGTGTGCATTTTTGATAACTTTAAAGGACAAGACGCACATACAATTTTAAAAGTTTCAGCCTTCGATCCATCCATCTAGTTTTTCATTTCTGCTAATTTGTCCCTGGAAAACTATTAGAGTTTAAATGGCAAAATGTTTACCAACTCTTCACATAAAAATCTCATATCCCAGGAATAAACTATACTAATTACAATCTGGTCCTTCTTGGTAACTAAATAAACATTTCAGAATAGATAGAAGAATATTATTCATTATACACATCTTTGTGGTATAGAAACACTGTTCTGATGGTATGTTCCATCCTTTTATAGCTGACCGTGAATGTCCAGCTGGTCAGATCAAGTGTGAGCGCAACAATATCTGCATCTACCCTGAGAACCTGTGTGATGGCTTCAACAACTGCGGCGATAACAGCGATGAGAATCCTCTCTTTTGCGGTAATAGATAAATAGAAGATTGGATCTTTAGAAGGTTATTCTATCTTGGCTTAATTTCTTGTCTTTATGTATCTCACCTGCAGCTGATCGCACATGTGCTGCCAATCAGTTCCAGTGTGACCAAGGAAAGTGTATTCCTGAGTCATGGGTCTGTGACTCCATTGCTGACTGCAATGACAAGACGGATGAACCTCCCTCTTGTGGTAAACCTCTAATTTAGCTTCAAATCTATAATTTTCATAAGTAAAGGCTCTGAAGTACTTTCTTGTATGTATGCATATATATATATATATATATATAAATATTAAGTTTTTAGGTTCCATTGAAATACATTCTTCTTTCTGCAGAGGACATAGTCAGAACATGTGGCCCAGACCAGTTCACATGTACCAATGGGAACTGTGTCATGCAATCAGTGGTTTGTGATGGAAACAATGACTGCTGGGACAACAGCGATGAGGCCCCAGAACTTCAGTGTGGTAAGAAAGATTTTATATTGTGGCATAACAACCCAAAACAGTTCATAATTATAAACCCAAAATTTTTCAAACGTTTTTTACAATAAAGGATCTAAAATGAATGAATATTCACTGATTAGGTGACTTCAAAAAGTGTTTGGCTGCAGATTCTTTTATTTTCAGGTTTCCAGGAAGAATACAGAATTACTCTTAAGATTTCCAGTCCAATCCAATTTTATTTATATACAGCTTTAAAAAAACAACAGGACCAAAGTGATGCTAAAAAAACAGAGATATAAACACCACAAAATGCACTAAGATTGATTAAAAACAATTATTTAAATAGGTAAAAACAACACAGAACATATGGCTGCATGGTGCCGGAGTGGGTAGCACTGTTGCCTTGCAGCAAGAGAGTCCTGGGTTCGATTCCTGGACCGGGGTCTTTCTGCATGGAGTTTGTATGTTCTCCTTGTGAATGCATGGGTGCTCTCTGGGTACTCCGGCTTCCTCCCACAGTTCAGAAACATGACTGTTAGGTTATTGGCTTCTCTAAATTGTCCGTAGGCGAGTACGTGTGTTCATGGTTGTGTGTTATTGTGTTGCCCCTGCGACAGACTGGCGATCTGTCCGGGTGTACCCCGCCTCTTGCCCCACCACAACCCTGACAAGGACTAAGCGGGAGAAAATAGAATATAGAAAATAAAAGAAATAAAACCTAAAATCAACCAATACCAACATCCTTTTGATTATTTAAAGCCAGAGAGAAAGGATGAGACATCAAAAAAGGTTTTAAAATGGTCAAAGAGGAAGCCTGATTTAAATTTGTAAATCCTGAAACAAATAATATCTTGCTTTACTTCAGAAAATTTTATGTAAGTACTTTTGTTTGGTCTATCACTGGAGTGATGACTCCAGTCCTGATGAGTTGGAGTCCTGAATGTTCAAAACCTTCCTCCTTCAACATAACTGAATTAAAGGCTGAAATCCCTGCTCAGTGTGTCAAAAATGTCTGTATGTGCATTATGTGTTCTGATTAATCATTAGATTTGGGTCTGTAATACAGATTTACAAATACATATTTTTAACGCCAATACTGATTATTTTGACATGAGTTAAAACTAAATCCCTGATATGTGCTGCTGATATTTTTTGGCTGATTCTTGGAGATTTCAGATTTTCTTCTCCCATATGACGTAATGATAGCAAATGTTGCAAATGTCTCAAGTATAAAAAGAATAAATATATTACAAATCAAACAAAGCATTATTTTTCACTTGCTGTTGAATCAGGAAAAACATGCATGATACCAATACAAGTAAAAAACACAAATATCAGGGTAAAAAACTAAACGGCCGGCCGATGCATCAGCCTATATGGTCTGTAAATGTGGAAAAGATCAAGAAAACCTAGAACAACATTCTGCAGTACTGGAGCCGGACCTCCCCGCTATATCACATAAAATCTCAATTAAATACACAGAAGTGTGGTTACTGTGACAAAATAAAAAAATAAAATGCAGGAATAATTATCAGGGAAGTGAAATCTTTCATCAAGAGTTCCTGAAACACACATTTTACTGTCTGACTATTCATGGTACCATTTCAAACAGTTAAAACTTTTTTTCCATCTCTTCTAGGCGATCGCACCTGCAGTACCAACCAGTTCACCTGTCCAACCTGGTACCCAGGCCACCCGCGTTGTTTGCCATTGAACTTTGTGTGCGATGGGGAGAAAGATTGCGCCAATGCAGCTGATGAGCTCCAGAACTGCCCCAACCGAACCTGCCATATGGATGAGTTTGCATGTGCCAACGGGCTCTGCATCCTTATCCCATACCAGTGAGTGCGAAACATTTTGTTACAGCGTAACTGCTGACCTTTATTAACAGTAACTGAATGTAATTTCCTCCAGCTGTGACCGTGTGAACGACTGCGGAGATGGCAGCGATGAGCTGAACTGTATATATGACACCTGCAGCAGCAGTCAGTTTACCTGTGGTAACGGAGCCTGTATCTATGCCTCTTACATTTGTGACGGAGAGAACGACTGTCTGGACGGTTCGGATGAGGCTGACAGCCTGTGCTTCACGCCGCAGCCAACCTGCTCACCCCAAGAGTTCATGTGTAACTCAGGAGAGTGTATTGATCTCCATAAGGTGTGCAATACTCAGAAGGACTGCGAGGACAACAGCGATGAAAAAGGCTGTGGTGAGAGAATTTAGCTCAAGAACCTTTTGAATTTTGTTTTGGATTTGCTTCAGTGATGACAAACTAAAAGGTGTCACGCAAGAAGGATATTTCTAAAGTGAACCATCATGAGCGGATTAATCACAATATAGATAGATATTTGAACCCTGAGTTTTCATTAGTTTGATTTTCTCATTCGTATGCAGTTGCCTTAATTCCCTAGACAAAATAATGTTTGCCAATATTTTTAAAAACAAAAAAAATATCAATCCAAAAATGGGAATTTCAAAGAGGAAAGGTAAAAAAATGAAGAAAAAAAAGACTACTCAATCAATAAAGAGTGTTAGAGTATTTTACTGTGCATGAAAAAGTTTAGCCAATATTTCTATATTTGCTAATCAGATTTTTTTTTTCAAATTTTTGTCTCTAGAAGTTTTTTTTTTTTTTCCATAGAATCCTTTTTTTCCAACAGACTTTATTTATCCCAAACTTTAGTGGGAGACTAAGTTTACAAAATTCATTCCTTTCAAATCCTGTTTTACCCGTTACAATTCTGGAGGCTGGGGTTCCTTGGAAGTGTGTTGTTAAGACGCATTTATATTGGTCTGTACTTGGACCAATAGATTTCCTCACTCCACCCTGAAAAAATTTTCTTTGGAAATTTTTTTTTTAAAAGTGTCTGAAAAAATGCAATCTTAAAAAAGCAAACTGTACAAATAGAGGTTGAAAGTTCGTATACACATTATATATTACTCTCAAAACCTGATTTTTTATTTACAAAATTTTTCAAAGTTAATTTTGAAATTATTTATCTTTAAATTTCAATTTTTGACAAAAATACATGTTAAAAGTTAAAAATTACCAAAGCTCAACTAAGTGTTTTAAGTTATTAAGGCTAATGTTGATTTACAAAAGCAAGCATTTTTAAACCCAGAAACACATATGACATATTTATACAAGATTCAGTGAAACTGCTATTATTTATATTTTACATTACAGTTACCTGAACTTTTAGAATTATTTTTGCATTTATTACTTTTTTTAATAAAATGTATTTATCTCCCTCTGCTTAGGAATCAATGAGTGTCTCAACCCACAAGTCCACAAGTGCGCTCAGATCTGCACAGACACCCTCACTAGCTATTACTGCTCCTGCAACCCAGGCTACAGTCTTATGCCCGATGGTAAAGCCTGCGAGGACCTCAACGAGTGCATCAGCACACCGGCCGTGTGCAGTCAGATCTGTGAGAACACTGCTGGGTCGTATCACTGTAAATGTGCTCCAGGTTACATCCGAGAACCAGACGGACGGACCTGCCGCCAGAACAGCGGCATCCCCTCATACATATTATACAGCAATCGCTACTACGTCCGTTATTTGTACGTCGATGGTTCAAAATCTGGTGTAGCAGTGCAGGGCCTGTCCAATGCGATTGGAGTAGATTATGATGACTATGAAAAATGGATTTATTGGCTTGATGTGGGAGCAGGGAAGATTGAGAGACTGCATTTTGATGGCACCAAGAGGGAGACGCTTCTGGATCACGATATTAGTGGAGCTGAAGGCCTGGCGGTGGACTGGGTGGGAAGGTGGGTGATAAGGAAGCACTAAGATTAAAAAAAGGAGCTTATCTTTAAATGCTGGGAATAGAATTAAGTAATTAGAATCTTTATTTTCCCACAGGAAGCTGTACTGGGTGGATAGTTATTACAGCTCAATTCATGTGATGGAGTTGGATGGTCGCTACCAAAAGAAACTAGTGACTGGAGAGTTTAAAAATGGCAATGACACTTATTTCATCAGCCGACCCCGTGCAGTAGCCGTCAACCCCAAATATGGGTAATAGCATGATTTTAAAAAGTACTTCTGCTGTATGTTTTCTTTTTGTGTCTTTCTATGAATATCAATCAAAACATCCTCTGTATCACGTTTTTCCTTTTTTTTCCTCCTCTCTTCTCTTAGATGGCTGTATTGGACAGACTTGGGTGACAAAGCTTATATTGGCAGAGTTGGCATGGATGGAACAAACATCAGCGCCATTATTACGACCAAGCTGGCGTGGCCCAATGCTCTGACCATCGACTACACCACCAACAAAATCTTCTTTGCTGATTCCCATCTTAACTTTTTGGAGTAAGTTACTAGAATCGGAAAAAAGAGAAAGCCTTTAAGATGATTCAATACAAGACACCGTAGATTATTTCCCACTATTTTATCTTATGAGAATTTCTACTATACATTGTCTCTGATTCTGTTTCAATCTTCCTAATATCAAAGCTTTGCAGACATGGATGGCCAGAACCGGCACCGGGCCATTGCTGGAACGCTTCCCCATGTGTTTGGTGCTTCTCTGTTCGAAGACTGGATCTACTGGACAGACTGGAACACTCACACTGTAGAGAGAGCCCATAAGTATACTGGCGAGCAACGCACCATCATGGGAAACAACACCCATCGGCCTTATGACATCAAAGTCCACCACCCATACAGACAGCCTAGAAGTACATAAATCTGTACATGCTTCTATATTCAGTGTCTGAACAAAATTGCAACAAAAATGTATTTTGGATGACTTTCCCAGGTGAGAACCCCTGCTCTTCACATCACCTTACCTGCAGCCATCTGTGTCTGATCGCACCTGGAGGTGAGGGGGCTACCTGCGAGTGTCCAGATCATTTCATCGCCCTGGCTGTGGGATTTAAGATCCAGTGTGTGGCAGACTGCTCCAGCACCCAGTTCCGCTGTGGAGACAATGAGAAGTTAGTCTGATAGAAAACACTCTTTAATATCTGCAATGTAGTACACTTTAATGTAAAAGTCAATCATCCTGTATATAAGCCATCCTGATTGTACATATGTCAGCTCAAATCTCTGTGTTACTCCCTTGTATTTTTTTTATTATTTTTTTTTTATTTCTTATTTTTATTCTTTTTATTTCTTTTTATTTTGTTTTTATTCCTAATGCACCTTTTCCTCCTTGTTTTCACCTTCTTTAATTACTAGGCCAATATGTGACCAGTGAATTTCTCCGCTGTGAGAACAATAAAACTAATCATCTAATCTAATCTAATCTAATCCCTGATTACACATTAGTGGCATTTTTTCAATCACTATTATTTTATTTTCTAGTATCCCTGAGATGTTTTTTCTGAACTTTAAAACTAAAAAGTAATTTAATGACATAGAGGAAAAGATACCACAGATCTAAGAGTGCCACAGTTTAATAGAAAGATAATTTTGTAATAATTAGACACAATTTGAGATAAGTGAATAAGGAAAAATGTATTTATATTTAACATAATCCCTAAAATAAAATTAACAATGTTAAAAATTTTAAATCTAGTATCCATTATATATTCAAAACACATGTGATTTTTTTTGGTATCATTTAAAGAATTCTTGTGTTGCAACATATTTATTTATTTCACATTTTGGCCTTATACATAAAAGTCAGTAAATTGATTAGTCAGCCATTGACTGGCTGTACCAGCCAACCAATGAAATGCTGAGCTCCGTTTAATGGTCCATTTAGATAATTTCATGATGTACTTTGCTTTGGAAATAGGAAGTAAATAAATACTTAAATAATAGTGGGCTGCATAGTGGTGCATTTTGTAGCTCTGTAGCCTTGCAGCAAGAAGTTTCTGGGTTCGACTCATAGCCCAGGGCCTTTCTGCATGAAGTTTGCAGATTCTCCCAGTGGGTTTTTCCTGTTATTCCAGCTTCCTCCCACAGTCCAAAAACATCTTATAAAATTAAGTTTCAAATAATAATTAAAACATTTGATTAATCAGTTCTATAGTTATTGATAGTTATTTTCACATATGAAACTCTTTACATTACATAACAGATTTGTGATGATGTAACTAAAAACCTCCCTGTAGTAAATCTATCACACTTTTGCCAAAACTGTCATATTTAGATATTTGATTGAACTGAATTTATTCATTAGCATGAATGGTTCTAAACAGGGACCTGTGCCCCTGCAGAATTAGTCCCTTTTATGGCCCCTGCACCGAAGTCATAATACAAGATAAATATATAATAAATAACTAATAATATGTGGTGGAACAGAAACCACAGCTAATAGTTCACTCGGACCAATTTGATTTTTCATAATTACAGTTTTATTTATCAAGAATTAAAAAATTAAGTTATTGCACTTTTAGCTTCATTCATACTGAAGAAGGATAACGGTTTTAATTGCTAGAGCGGAGGTTTCCCGGGCTTCAAGTGGCTTTTTGGTACACTTTCTATATTAGTGAACATTCAGCCCTGTTTGATGTTTCATTCTTTTTTCTGTGCCTCCATGATATACCATTGGTCCCACCCTAGCTCCCCTGGTTGATTTGGTCTAGAGCTGCTACTGTTCAGAAAGAATAGTTTTAAATTCATCTTTAAAAAGATCATTTTGTGTGTTTTTCTGTTGATAGATGTGTACCTATATGGTGGAAGTGTGACGGTCAGTCGGACTGTGGCGACGGCTCAGATGAACCTCAGACCTGTCCACCTCGATACTGCCCAATTGGCCAGTTCCAGTGTCAGGATGGTAACTGTACCTTCCCCGGTGTCATCTGCAACGGCTACCAAGACTGTCCTGACGGCTCAGATGAGGATGCTGCTCTCTGCAGTATGGCCATTTTACAACTGTTAAAGTTGAATGCATCATCTAGTTTGGGATTATTCATAGAACTTGGTTTACCTTTTGTGTTTATTATTCCTGTAGGTGATCATCGATGTGCAGTTAACCAATTCCAGTGTAAAAACAAAAACTGCATCCCTGTATCCTGGCATTGTGATGGAGTAAATGACTGCTCAGACGGCAGTGATGAGGACCCAGAGAGCTGCGCTCAAAAGACCTGCCAGCCAGGAGAGTTCAAGTGTACCAATGGCCGCTGTGTGCCTATGAGCTACGTGTGTGACGCCCAGAATGATTGTGGCGACGGGTCCGATGAGCCGTATGACACCTGCAGTAAGTATTGGGTCTGATGCAGGCTTTGTAGTGGCTAGAGTAGGGCTATTTAGTTTTCTTGTCATTGTACATTTTCATCAGAATCCGTCTCACCGGTCTTTTCAGATTCAGAACTAATCCGTGATTTATCTGCCTTTTCTCAGTGGGTCCAGATTACAAGTGCGATGAAGATACAGAGTTCTCCTGCAAGACAAATTACCGCTGTGTTCCTCAGTGGGCTCGCTGTGATGGCACAAACGACTGTCTGGATAACAGTGATGAGGAGGGATGTGGTCAGTTCTTATCTCTTATCAAGTCTTATGTGGAGTTTGAGATCAGGAATAGGGGTTCTTTATCAAATCTAAGCTTTAAAACCTTAAGAAAAAACAAATTCCTTGTTCTTTATTTTTATTTATTCATTATTACCCTGAAGTGTTATGTGGGTTTTACACTTACTGTAATATTTAACCAAAAGTGCTGCACGGTCAATACTGATATCCCACTGTAGTCATTTTACACACTGACCGTGAGTTAAACACCCAAACAGAGGAGGTGACCTGTGACCCTCTGGGAGATTTCCGCTGTGACAACCATCGCTGCGTTCCCATTCGATGGAAGTGTGACGGCAACAACGACTGTGGCGATGGATCAGATGAGAAAGACTGTGGTAAGTCTTGGATTCTTCATCTCTTTACTCATTCCTTGTTTAAACAGCTACAAAACATGTCGCCCTGTTTTTTTTTTTCTTTAAATCTGTTTAAGATTGATGATTTTGGACACAGATAAACCCATGTTTGTCTTTTTTTTTTAATCAGTTTTCTGTCTGTTTTTCTTTCCAGTTTTTCTCAGTATGAATAAGCTGCTCTGTTATATCCACATTTTTTGGCTGCAGATAAATTTGTTATGATTTTTCCAGAGCCAAGACCTTGCACTGAGAGCGAGTTTCGATGCGACAACGCTCAGTGCATCCCTGGAATCTGGCGTTGCGACCATCAGAACGACTGCGGGGACAACTCCGATGAACGAGACTGTGGTGAGTGTACAGTACTCTAAAATTCACTGCTTTTTAGCTTTACATTTAACAGAGCTCCTGTAAAGTCTTTTATTCAGGTGTGGAAAGAGTTGGACTTGAAGAAGGCCTCTATCCAGACTCTACAGCTTATTCTTTTCTTTACTGGTTATAATTGTAAAAAATATGTCTTGGATTTTCCACTAAAATAATTTTTTTCTCATGTTATCAAAATGAGCTGCAGGACCAAACAGAAATCTGATACAAAACATTGATAGTGGAAAAAATAAGAAAACCAATTCTTTCACAAGGATGTAAATAAGGTGGCAGGAGGATAACAAAGAAACAGATAGCATGAAATCAGCAGAAGGGATCAGTAAAGGATACTGACAGCCAGCAGGCTTATTACAGAGGGGAAGTGAGGAGAAGCTATGGAGACCCAGGTGAAGGAGATCAAGTCAATTATCAGGCACAGGTGGGTAGAATGAGCTTAATTACAGAAGAGGCTGTGCAGAGGAAAGGCTTGGCAACTAAAGATGTGTAGAATAAGGACAGACATAAGGAAAATAAACCAAAATATATACAGAGAATAAACTATGAAACAAAGAACAGGGATTATTTAAGAAGAAACTAACTTAGGATCATTACTGATTACAGTATAATAACGAGCACTAAAGTGAAACACATTACAAACCATAACAGTCTGGGATTATGAAAGCATGTTCATTTCTCCAAATCAGAGTTTTTTTATTCACTGATGAAAAACAAAACAATTACACATTATTTCAAAACTGAATAAAATAACAATTTACCGTTTTGGCCTACAGATAAATTTTTGCAGTTTAAACCTAGATTCAGATCCCAATCAAACTGTTAAAATTTATTTTTTTTATTGCAACAAATAGAACTAATAATATGGATAACATCTGGATTAGTTTGGGATAATTCAGTCCTGATTTAACAGTACACAGTGATGTGTGATTTTTATATCCTTCAAAAGAAAACAATGACCCTGTTTGCATTCAAAGCACAATTTCAGCCTCCTTTATGTTTTGTAAAACACACAGATAACAACTTTTTGGGTATTTTCAGGTTGTACTTAGATGTCCTGAAAGTCAATTTGGAAACACTCAATGCGCAGATACCCTGATATGAGCTTCACTTTCTTTCAGAGCTGCTGACATGTAACCCAGGCTTTTTCCAGTGTGACTCTGGTCACTGCATCCCCTCTGCTCTGCAGTGTGATGGCCGGCCTGACTGTCTGGATCTGACTGATGAGACCACCTGTCGTAAGTAAACATCAAAACTATCGACAACCTGCAAGGCTGCCATATTGTTTTAATGTCCTTTATTTTAATCTTAATTTATAAAGATAAAATCATTACTCCTGATCAATAAGTAAAAAAATAAATACATTTTTTTGTCGTTAAATGTAACAGTTTACTTCTCTATGATTAAATAAAAAACACAAACCTGAACACCACTTAAAATGACTGTTAATTAACTATCAACAGTAGTAAATAAGTTCACAGACATCTTGAATAAAATATTTTCATTTCACAATGGAACATAGAATTAAAAATGTGTCCCTAGAGTTCAGGGCTGTCAATTATTTACATTCTACATTTATTTATTTTTCATTATAGCCACATTACGAAAATATATTTAAGTGATTCATTGAAGCTCAATCATCTCAATCATTAATATTTTCATTTTCAACATAATATTGAATAAATGTTTCTGTTTATATGTAAATTATTTGCTTTAAAGTGATTCTTTGATTCCCCGACCCTACCAGCTACTCGTTTCCCAGACGGCCGTTGGTGTCCTCCGCTGCAGTTCCAGTGCGCCAACACACTGTGTGTGAGCCAGAGCTGGGTGTGCGATGGAGTCGATGACTGTGGAGATCGCTCTGATGAAGTTCTCAGTCTTTGCTGTGAGAAAAATCACCTTTTTATGATCTCTGATATTTTTTTTATTAAGTTTTATTTCATTCATTTTGATTTTTAAGGTTACCTGTCTTATATTGGAAAGGTCAAATGATTTGAAATTGTAGAGCTAGAAAACAAAAAACTCCCCAAACTATCAAAGCTAAATAAATCTTTGCAAATGTTTATTTTCTTCTTTAAAGCAGAAATATATCATTCTATATCCCACTTCTCTCTCAAACTAATCTGAATCGTTAAAGTCATCAATAATTTATTTTTTTTGTTTATACAAAAATGTCTCTTAAATAGAATAGGGATACGTCAAATAGATCTTTGGCTGATTAATGTAAACATAAAAAACAAATGTTTGTTAGTGGTAACAACAACTTGTGCCAAGCTAAATTAACAAAAAAAAAAATCTTAGATCAGTAGTTTGACTTAGGTGACATGTTGAGGAAAGAAGACTTACTGTTGACTAATAGTCTTATCGCTTCATTGGTGTCACAGTGGGTGGATTAAAGCAACTTTTGAAAGGGACTATTCTGGGTAACCATGGTAACGTCTTGAAACTGAGTTAATGTAAAAAAAAAAATAATAGAAAAAAAAGTGAAACCCACTGCTGCCTCCATTGGGGTCTATTTAATGTATAAAGGCACATTATGGCATGCCGATAAAAGTATTTTAACACAGTAAGTGAGAGACAGGGATTTTGTTCATTAGAAAAACTAAACTCCCCTGAATGGTACCGGAATTAATAGTTTTTTAGATTGGATTTTGTCACAAGTGCTTCTAAATTTATAGGTAGGTTTGCTTGTTTGTTAGGTTGCCTGACCTGCTAGTCATTGAACCAATTATCATAGTAATCTTGACCCTAATAAACACTCTTTCGAGCTGGACACCCAAACAGTTAACGCTTTTTTTCCACAAGATGTTTTTTAAAGTTGAGACATGGTAATGATGATCCATTTGTATTTTTTAGCTTCAAACTTGTACACACATTTTCTTTAGATAAAACTGGTAAAACTTTGGATTTAAACTGTTTTTCATTTCAGTGAACGTCACCTGTGAGATGCCCACAAAGTTCCGCTGTGAAAACGGCTACTGCATCTACGCGGGCCTGATGTGCAACATGAAGGATGACTGTGGAGACGGCAGCGATGAAAAGGAAGACCTCTGTATGACTCCCAAATACACAGGACACAAAATGCATACTTTAAAACCTTAGCTCCCCATGCACATCAATATAAAATCTAAGAGAAAACATAGAATGACACATCTGGAAACTATAAAATCAGGTTAAGTGCACCATGCAGGACTATTGTTGCCCTTTGTTTTCTCTTTTAAATGTGGCCATAATCAGATTTGTGATAAGTTTCTGAGATTGCCAAGCATTAGTCTAAACCCCACTAATGCTCTGACCTCTTCTGAACTGAGGTCAGTGAAACAGTAAATCCCAATGTTAAAATCAGTGACCACACAGGTCACACAGCTTCAAACATCCAGATGATAAGGAAGTAGTTCACTTCATGAAAACGTTTCAGAATCGGCTTAAACGTCTATCAAATTATTCTTAGAGAAGATTATATCATTAGGGGCAGAATGGACACTGGCACTGTTTATATCATGGAAGATATACATATGTGTGTTCATCATGTAATATTATAGTACGGAACCACACTTTTGCCTGAGTGGCTCTTGATATATGTTGAAGCATTGTTTCTACAGCCTCTTACTCTTTGGCACCGTGTTTTAGCTGCAGAGTGACGGAGCAGAGCAGAAATGTCATCTTAGCTGTGATGTGTGATGTTTTCTCAAACTGGTTTATTAGAACCCCTCAGTTAATGAATCATTGTGTTTCCTTTACAGGCCGGGAGCCCACCCTGCCTCCTTGTACACTGGAAGAATTCAAATGTACCAATGGACACTGTGTGGCCCTGCCCTACGTCTGTGACCACAATGACAACTGTGGCGACCGGACAGATGAAATGGGCTGCAGTGAGTAACACAAGCGTTTATGAAACCAATGGAGTCATTCTATCTTCTGTTTTTGGGGAAAACAAAAGAAAAGTGGGAGTTTTTAGGCCCTAAATAATAAAAATTGAGCATATATGAGATACTTGATGACTAGCCTATATTAGTAATTGGACTGTACTTTTACAAATAGCTTTGTATTTGTTATTTGGTGTTGCAATTCTAGCACAGGCCAAACTTACTCAGAATTTGTTATTATTGGGTAAGCTTTCAAAACCATGTTTGATTTATTTGGAAACAATATGTCTTTTAAAATCAAATTAATAATTTCTAATAAGTGTTTCAGGTAACTATGGTGCATACTAGAGATCAGCTGATTTGATAGTTGAGAATAACTTTATAATACTCCAGCGAGATCTAGAGTTCGTTTATGCTTGATTTCTAGACTGAAGGACAGTATAATGTGTCATTTGAGATGGAATCTGAGATGAAAGTAGAAAATTACCTTTTGACGCTTTTTAAGGTAAAATTATATTAAATGACAATGAATGACAACTTTAGAAGTTTGAACTTTACCTTCACACATGAAATTGGTGTTTTTTAAATACTCTTTCAAATAGATTTTTTTTTTCATGAAATTACCCAGTTGACAGTAGGTGTACAGATGTTACTAGAGTTTGTAGATATTTACACTTTGAAATTTACACTTTAGATATAAGTAAACAACCTAATCCCACCTTACTTACAAAATACAGAATATATTTTAAAAAGAATTATCATAATATCTAATGTTCTGTACTGAGTTTATTTAAACAATATTTTCCTGTTTTTTGTTTTATATATATATTTACAAAGATGTTTTGATAAATTGATGAATTTATAGAATTCCTGTCCTTTAGATGATCCAAAGTTATGTTTTTTCTTTACATGTATTTTGTCTCTTTGTGTTCTCTAATATTTTTCTGCTTTGTTGTTTTATTTTTTTTTTCTTCAAAAACTTTTAATTTAGATTTTGGCCAAGACCGAAACTGTGATGAGAAGCTGTGTCAACATGAGTGTACCAACCTGAACGGCACTGGCTTCATCTGCACCTGCAGGCCGGGATATGAAGTGGACCCAGACAGCACCTACAACTGCCTCGGTACACACAGGCCACCCATAAGCTCCCAATGAAATATCCAGTGGAGTAAAACTGCCCAGTTGTTCTTAGAACTGGTATCTTCTTCCATCTCTTGCAGACATTGATGAGTGTAAGGAGTATGGCACCTGTCCTCAGATCTGTAAGAACACTAAAGGTGGCTACGACTGCGAGTGTGCATCTGGCTACAGGAAAGTAGGGGACGGCAACATGTGTGAAGCTGATGGTGAGAACAATGTTTTTCTTGCCTAAAGCATCCTTAATTCATTATATAATTTGATAAAGAAACAGCTCGAGAAGGATTTAAAGTGACAGTCCTCACTGCTAGATGCATCTTTTCCTCAGGAACTGGTGTTGTGCATTTTCTCTATTGATCCATTTGATTTGATTTTGTTGAGCTGGGAAAACATTTAAGACTTGCTCTTGCCGTTGTTGATTCTCTAAGGACATCACTCCTCTAAAGCTATATTATTCCTAAAAGCATATTATCCATCAAACAGAAATGAAGCTATGGCTTTATTTTCATGTCGTTGAGGTAAATCTATTTGTTCCGTCCTTAGGAGCCGCTCCTCTGCTGCTGCTTCCTGAGACAATTCGGATCAGGAGATTCAACCTGCAGTTGGAAACCTACCACGACTTCCTGGAAGAGGAGGATCGCATCATGGCGCTGGACTATGACTGGGACCACAACAACACTGGATTCAGTAAGATGCTGGGATCATTTATATTGTATAAAGTGATACAGTAAGTTTTACATCCATTTATTTGGTCCTTTTCAGGCATGGTGTACTTTACTGTTGCTGGTAAGGACGCCGAAGCAGGTGCCATTAAGAGAGCGTACATTCCCTCAGTGGATGATGGCAGTAATAATATCGCTACTGCTGTGGACCTTGGTATCAAATACATCACATCACCAGATGGCATCGCTGTGGACTGGGTGGGCAGGTGAGTGGGGCCGTATTAGTAGAGAAGTTTGTTCTTAAACAAGCAGAATCACCAAACTGGAATGTCCACTAATATGAAGTTTTTTTTTAACCTCCTAGAAACCTTTATTGGGCAGATTCTAGACTGAAAAGGTTAGAAGTGGCCATGTTGGATGGACGCTACAGGAAGCATCTTGTTAAGACGGATCTAGGGTACCCATCAGCTGTGGCAGTCAACCCTAGACTTGGGTAAGGCGAAAAGGGGCTTTTCTCTAGTTTATTTCTATTTTAGAAGAGAAATCCCCCCAAAAAACATGTAAGAGTTATATTTCTAATTACTTCTGTTAATTTGCAGAATGCTGTACTGGGCAGACAGAGGGGATGCAGCAAAGATTGAGTGTTCATGGTTGGATGGACAGGAGAGAAAAGTTCTAGTGGGCGATGGGCTGGGCTGGCCGACTGGCCTGGCCATCGACTTCACCAACGGAGACAGAATTTACTGGTCGGACTCCAAGGAAAGCCACATCGAATCTATTCTGCCTTCAGGGGAGCAACGGAGAACAGTGGTGTTTATAGGTGAGGAACAGGAAGGGGATCATTAAAGAGGGAACACATTGTATTAAAGTATTACTCAGTTAAAAAGGTGTTGCATTCATGTCAAGCCCAGAGAAAAGAGAGGTATCTAGAAAAGCACTTGGGGAGCGCAGACCTCTGCTAAGCAACAAATTCTGCACCAAATTTTTACTTTTACACCTATAGCTAAATCTCCAGCATAATCTGGATCATTACCATATTTTAACGAATTGTTCCTTTGTATGAGGAACAGCTCTGGTAAATAATTTTCATAAAATCCATTCATAGGTTTTCAATCAATCCTGCTAACAAACCACCAGCGTTCCATTTTCTCGTGTTTTTGTCTTCAATAAAAAAAACCTCCAGAATTTTTCAGTCGGATGCTGAGGCTGTCAATACTCACTGCTGCCACCCTTTGGTTTAGTGGGGAACTCCATGATCTGCCAAATATCTCACAATGTTAGAGAATCTTTTAAAAATATATGTATCAGAGTAAGAACTGGATCATCAGCAAAAATTAATGGATTGTTTCATTTCGTTACAATCCTGCACATAGACAGACAGACACACAAACAAACTCTCCTAAAAACATAACCTCCTTGGTGGAGGTAATGAAACCCTGTAAATATTTGAACTCTTTAATAATTAAACATCTGAAAAGTGCATTGTTCATATACAGTCAGTGCTTGTATTCAATTTTATAAAAATCATTTGATGCAATTAATGCTGCAATATTTTCAGGGGTATATTTATCAACGCTATTTTCCAAGTATGACTACAAACTTTTCATTGGGGTTTTGCCTGGATTTTGACAGAGTTAATTGACATAACAAATTATTATGTTTGATCTAAACTATGCACTGATAGTTCTGGACATATTTACCTTACCCAGGTCTCAAGAGCTTTGTAGCTTCTAACATATTACCTCAAGCTTTGTTTTTAACTCCGTCTAAGAAAAGCATAATGCTGCAAACAATAGATTTTACTGTAACGTTTGTTTCTTATTAAAAAGATTAACAACCATGTTTTTTTCCCTTTCCCAATGTTATTACTCACTATATCCTGCTGTAGGTTTATTGTATAAATTCCCAAAAAAGAAAACAGGGAAGTTTTTGATTGCCCAGTGTAAAAAGGTGGAAAGTTTCAGAGTTTACTATACATCTGTGGCTTAATCTCCTATTAAATCAAATACCTGTTTTTGTGTGTTGTGTAGATGTGAGAAACCCGTTTAGCGTGTGCGTATTTGAGGACCACTTGTATTGGAGCACTGAGGAGAAAGGTGAGGTATTTCGACAGGACAAGTTCGGCCGTGGAGACAAAGTGAAGCTGTTCACTGCTGGACCCTGGCTGACGCAGATCTCTGTGTACCAGCAGCAGAGATACAACTCCATGGCCAGTAAGCCCGACATTTACACGTCACTTCTTCAAGAACACATTATTAGGTGTTATTGAGAAAATAAGAATATGATATGCTTCATTTTATAAAGATTTACACTCTGTATATAGACCGCTGGGACATTTTTTTGTGAATTAATGTTGTGTGTGTGCATTTGTTGCATGCATATATATCTATATATATCTATATATCTATAGATATATATATAATTATTTTACAGTTATAAACACTCTTCTTTGCTCATGCAGTAAAGAATCCATGCAAAGGAACCTGCAGTCACCTGTGCCTGCTCCGGCCGGGAGGATACACCTGCGCCTGTCCTGAAGGCACCAGCTTTATCAGTGGCAGCAACACAGAATGCGACGCTGGTAAGAAACCAACCTTTTAAGCTTTGTTTATCTGATAACACAAAGGAACGGAATAAATGGACTTTCTGGCAGCAATGCACATACAACATTGAGGATGACCATCAAATTAGATTCAATGGGAATTTTGAAAAACTATTTTACGCTGTATTTTTAGTATCCCATTCAGGGCTTTTAATAATTATTCCGTATTTCCATGATTTTTTTTAGGGTTTGAACCACCCCCCACCATGCCACCACCATGCCAGTGTCAAAATGGAGGAACATGCTACTTTGATGACAACATGGCTCTGTGCAAGTAAGAAACTGGATTCAGTTTTACAGCCCTTTCCTCCAAGTCAAATGATCACACCAGCAAAAAAATTTGAAGAGAAATCATTTATTTACACTTTTGCATCAGATCGAGTAATCTATTAATTTCTTCTTCCTATTTTATAATGTCTAGGTATTATGCGGCACAAATCTCCATTTTTCTTAAGCTCTACTAATTATAAAAAAGAAAAGAGAATATAATACACATGATGGATTGATTTTTAAAAGCAAAGAAGGCTTTTAAAGAAACAGCAACTTTCCCAAATGAACTTATATCAGTAGCCAGATTGATGACTGAAAAGTTAAAAATAACTGTTTGTCTCTCTTACTGAGGAGAATATTCATTCATTTAAGAGATTTTTACCTTTTTTCCCATGAAAATGCCAGTTATAGGGGACTGCTGTAACATATGTGAACATGTAAATGTATATTTTAACAGATACGTCTTTTTTTTTTAATGGAGGTATTTTCCTACTTGTTTTTTTTTTTCCTTCCACAGATGTCCTCCAGCATGGAAGGGAGATTACTGCCAGACCAGCATACACCACCTGGTTGCATCCTCAGGTTGGTTTACTTTTCCATATAAAAAGGAAAATAAAAATACTTCAGTTTTCTATTAACATGCATCATTCTGTGTGTCTACTCATTTTATCTTCTGTTCCTTCCTGGCAGTTGGAATAGCCGTTGGAGTGACGGTGCTGATTGTGGCCCTGCTGGTTGGTCTGGTCTACGCCTCCAGGAAGAAGTCCGTCCTTATGGAGAGGCTGCAGAGCAGCTTACCCAGCATGCCCAGTATGCCATCCATGCCCAAGTTTTCAGGCTTTAGGTATGGAAATAAATGAAATCCTGCAAAAATGTTGATGCTGTGAAATGTTTTATCCTTTAGGATAGATGCATAATGAACAAATATTACTGCTAAATAAGACCACAGCCAGAGGCACTGTTAACTCTGGATTTAGCTCTGCTTTTTGAGGATTTGGGGAAGGGATTAAAAGGCTTTTTAGGTATGCATTGACTGTATCAGAGCTTTGAGACATTTTGTTTTTCTTGATGATTTCCAGGACGGGATCCTCCCAAAATGGACAGACTACAGAGGGCAATGAATCGAGGCAGGATTTAGATACAGTAAGTTCCCATTTTTACTAGGTGTTAATTTAAAAAGAGCATGTACCAATCTGTTATTGCAGTCTCTAAATTAGGTTGATAAACAGTGTTAATACGTGGGTGTATTTTCTGCCTTGGCAGGTTTCCTCCATCTCTGTGTCCATGGTTGACACTGAGGTGAAGAACTTCGAGAACCCCGGGTACGAAGCTGAAGGACAGCTTGACTCTAACAGCAAGGCGACGCCCACCTCTCACCCCTTCAGTATAAAGAAGGTCAATAAACAAAGATCTGTTTTCTATATTTATTCCACTCACACCTCATCTTGTTCAGGTGGAAAAAATAACCAGATATTTCTCCTTGCAACCTCCTACAAAGGAGATTTGTAAAGATACATTATTAAAAATGTTTTTTCTGGTGTTTTTAATTAGTTTTTTTTTTGTTGAAAATAATTTCATGTGGAGAGTTTAAAATAAATTCATGTTCCTGACTGTAAAAAAACATGTGCATATAAAAGAAAAGGTTTAAATGTTATGGTAAATGTTTAATGTTTATCCCTTCTCAGCCGAACATTGTAAACCCGCTGTATGGGGAGGGCGATCAAGCTGCAGACGACACTGCAAAAAGTTCATCTTGGTCCAGCAGTTCTCCTAAGGTTGGTTTGTTGAGCAATTGAAACAAAAAATAATGCAGATTTCTGAAGTTGGTGTTACTGGATTTGAAACTCAGAACATCATATTGTTTGCTCAGATTCAGGCACTTACATGTACCTGTGTGTTTTTTTTTGACAGGGGGTCGTTATCCATTCCCCAGAGGATATTGTTCCATCAAGCTCACAGGTAGCCATGGAGGTAGTTGTCAAAGTTTTGTCATTTCATAAGATCATAACAGTCATTGTAAATTCTTTGTGCATAAAAGACTTGATTTTTTTCTTTTCATCAGCAAATCAAACCTACGGTGGATGAGAGTTCCAAGTCTTTCCAGAATCCTATCTACACGGTGAGCCAAATCACACAAGTCTCTGCTGTGCATGTTGTAACTGCAATATCCACATTTTTAGTCTTTTAAATACATTTTTATCTAATGTTAAGCTGAAATCTGGTCTACACTACATGTATTGAAACCAAATCTTTCTTCTAATGTCCTAAAATATATGTTTATTTACGTATAACACAAGTAAAAACAGATTAGAACACAAGGAGAAAGTGCTTTTTCTCCTACCATCACGAAGCTAAAAGCGCAGAGATGATTTAACATGCAAATAACTAAAGTGCAAGTTAGTGATTTGGTCAGTCAAGAGTGAGAGGGAACTTTTTTACAGTAAACACTCCAGGTGAGTCTCACATTTAAGATGTCAGTTATTAAGTGGTTCTATGATGCTGTTGACATGTTTTACCTACAAATAGCTAAATATGTTTGATTATGAATTCTTTAAAATACCTAGAACAGGGGTCTGCGACCGTTCAAAACAAAAGAGCCATTTTACCCTAAACCCAGCTAAATAAAAATGGTTTAAAGCCACAAATACCCCATGACCTTAAATAAAACACTTTTTTTTTTTTAAGTATCTACAGTAGAGAATCTGTTGCCGTTTGATACAGTAAAAAGTTTATTTTATTACTAAATAAGTACAAAACATAGCAGTTTCCTAAAGAGGAACCTTTTGGATTTTATTTTATGGGATATAGGTAAAAAAAAAACAGATTATTTACATTATAAGCGAATGACAAGAAATATAGATCTGGAAACATATTCTTTAATGTCATTCTGTTAACTTAAATTCTTTTTATGTCTTTAAAAACTGTTAAAACTTGTAGGAATTGTATTACCGGTAGTCAATTTACTATAGTCAAAACCTTTGGTTGGCTCCTTATCATTTTTAGTCACTATTAAGAGCCATTGTGGAGGGTCCTATGAAACATTTGCAGCTCCAGAGCAACAGGCTGCAGACCATTGACTTAGAAATTACAACAACTCTTTATTAATTTCTACCTACAAAAGTTTTTAATATATAAAAAGCAAAAGCAAATAAAAAGAAAAAGCATTATAATTTTTCTTAAAAGCAAGAAGGCCTTTTAATTGAATACCAAATGGACTGGAAGAGAAAATGGAAATAGATTATCACTAAGCCTTTGAGAAAGATAAGTATCCAAAACACAAGGTCAAGGTTATGCAGAAATGCCACACTAGGCACAAAATCAACCAACCATGATACAATCCTACAGGCACAATGGGTGGTAAGCTGAAGACAAAGACCTAGGATCTAAAGGGAAATGGAGAAATTCAGAGTAGAAGATAATCTTGGAAGAAAACAAATTGATGCACTAAAATTAAAACTGTTTGTGGCAGGAACATGAATGGAATCAACTCCTTTTGACAAATTTTTTGCACAATATTCTCATTTCTCTGCAGGATGACGAAAAGGATTCTCCTTCTGATTCTGATGTCTGAGACTAATTGTGCCCTTCAGTCGATGGGAGAACCCCAAGGGTCATAAATCAATCTGGAAAAATAAATACAAAGGCTCAATGTGAACAAATTTTCCCATCAACTTTGTAAAAGCAAAACACAGTATTTTGTAGTACCTTTAGATGTAACTTAACTTCAGTAAAAATATTTGTTTGAAAATAATCTGAAAAATGTAATTTGCTATTACTAAGATAAGACTTGTTCATTAGATTTTGTAAATCAAAGCTTTTAAACTTTTATGATTGAGAGTTTATATCTTTTTGTAAATTTTGATTTCATGAAACTTCTTTTATTAAACTGCTTTTATCACTACATTGTGTCTGCTGCTGGTATTTTCCTCTGCACACACGGATATAGTTCTTTTATCCTTGCTGTCTACACTCCTGCAGTTTATCCCCTTTGATCATATTTAAAACTCATATCTCCATCTTCTGTATCTGACCCACTGAGCTAGAATGAAACGCTCTTTTTATCCTCTGTTAATCCAGTGATTCCAGAGCAGCAGCAACAGTTCTGTGCGCTTTTTCTAACACAGTCAAATGTGTCTGAACACATTAAGGCCATGCCAGCCAAATGAGGCAGAGGCACCAGAAACAAGTGAGAAAGGCAGATAAGAGAAAGGGAGAGAGTGGATGGAGAGATGGAGAAGGGCATTGAGAGCCATTACTGGGGCGTTTCTGTTTTTATGGCTCTTGATGATTCATGGCGTGTTTTCAACCTGCCGGTTCCCCATGAGGCGTCACCCTGAGTGTGTGCTGCTCAGACAAACAGAGGGGGTGGGAGGGAGGGATGCTTTGAGGGGAGCAGACCAAAGAGGCAAGCAGCTCACAGCATGTGTGCACACAGTGCTACCTTCAGGGACTGTTGGAATACTACCTCATGCATGGATTTTCACCTATTTTACCAAAAAACTCTGTTGTGTTGTTAGGATTATTATTATTAATGATGCGTGAGTCTGTTATACCCTCTTAATACCTGTATGTTGCGTGTCAGAACAAGTAGTTTATCTAACTGGGACGGTTTCACTGTCAGGATATACGGTTATCATCTTCATTCTGCAGATTAAGGCAGATTTAAGAATGAGAGCTGTGTCCTTTATTTAAGAACAAACTGGAATATTTTGATAAGGCTGGAGCCGTGGATGTCTCCTCATCTACAAAAGTGTATGATGTAATGCTGTGATGATGTGGCAGACTGGAGCTGTGTAAAATAATTATTTAACTGTGATTCGAGGCCACTCCAACGAAATGTGAGCCCTTCTGTAACCCTAAGCAAATTCTCTGGTCTGCACAAGATTATGATTTCTGTCAAAATCTGTTGTCATGTCTGATGGTTATATAATACATATACATTATGAAGTGTTAATTAAAGAGTTTGTTCCGAGTGGTCTCTTCTTAGGAAAAGAACCGAAGAGAGAAACCTTCAAGTGTAAACACAGAGCTTTCCTTTAACTATGTAAAAACTATTGATCCGAATATGTCAACTTTCCCTTGATTTGTTATGGTCAATAAGCTTTTGATGAAACATAAATGGATATTTTTTTCAAGCATTTATTAAGTGTATCAAAACTAAGAACTTATTGCCAAGCAGGTTTGTCAACAAGCATTTACTTTAATGCACGTTTTTAAAATAAAAGTACTTATGGTTGGATGAATAGATGCGAGTAATTTTGTTTCCTTTCGTTTTTGTGCCAGAGGTCTAGAAAAAAAAAAGAAAAAGGTGAAATGGTTGCTCAGACCTCATAAAAATAATTTAGTTAATATTAAAACAGTACTTTTTTGTTTTTTTTTTAGAGAAGTTAAGCTTTAATAGATTTTAAGCAAAGCACAGCCTGCTGAGTTTTACCAGCTGGAAACATCTCTATATGTCAGGGTTGCAGATAAACATGACCATCAAGAAGGAATCACATCACAATGCAGAAGGTATATCAAGGAGGTTAAGAGTTTTAACACTCAGTTACACGTTTATGTCCCTTAGGTCGTTAAGATTAGACATACTTTACCCATTGCTGCAAACTAGACACTGTTCAAATTCTTGACAAACTATTT